CGATGAATGTGTCGCTAAAGTAATCTGCTCTGTTATCTGCTGTCCGCTCTGTGCTCCGTGCGCTCTGGGTCCTGCAATAACGGCTTCCTTACGTTGTAAACACTGCGGAGAGTCTGCTGCGTAATGTCCTGACGCTGGCTGGCATTCTTTATACTTTAAGCAGGACCATATCTCTGGAACCCATTGGTCGATTTGGGTGATTTACACCTTTTTCTTAACCATTAGATCCAATAGAATCGATGGGCAGTTCCCAAATCCACGTAAACATTACCATTGCGGACGTAATAGAGAAGCAAACGAAGCATATCTGAAAGTACAAGCCTGGACTGCAAAACTTTATACCCAGTATATTGCCATAAATATGATGAGGGATTATCAGTAAAAATGTCTACGTGACACAGAGACATTGGATTAACCTTGAGCGGCGTTTTTATTCCGTTGAACACAACTTTTAATCATAAATCAAAAAAGGTAAGACGTAATTATTGTAATATTTTTGAAACCGGATGTTTTCTGGCTGATAGCTCAGAGAATTCGGGGTCGTACAGTTATGACATTACATGTATGGAATCTGTGGAATCTCAGCTTGCTAGTCGATATTTTGTTTGTGCAGTTACGATAAGTAATAAGGGCATTTCTACCGTGAGTTCTGTGAAAAGTCCGTTAGCATTAGTTAGCATTTTTTCGCTCAATGCTAATTCAAAGGCTTGGTATTACTCTTGTGTTTCTTTTAGCTAAAAATTGTTCATATTGTCAGTTAGCGGAGTTTCTTCACGTTAAAAGGGTATGGAACATTAATAGTTTCATAAATGTTAAGAAGCCCTGAGACATAGTCTCGAAAAAAAACCTTGGGGGGGTTCCACTGGGGGAACCGTCGTCCTTAAGAGGTTAATCTGTTGACGGTAGCAAACAAGGCACATGTGTTTTTATTTTTGGTAATGATGTCAGAGAAGAACGATTGTCGTGCCTTTTTTATTTCCTGATTATAGACGCAGAGTCTCTGTTTATATATTTCTAAGTGAACCTGGAGATTTGTTTTTCTCCACCTGCGTTCAGCTTTTCTGCACTCAGTTTTTGCTGTTCTCACGGTCATGGTTTTTCTCCATGGAGATATTTTCTTGCTAAAAACTTCCTTTTTTTGAATTGGAGCAATGGTATCCATGACATTTGTTATCTTATAATTAAAATGATTTACTAGCTCATTTACTGAGTAGTTAGAGAGGGAGAAAAAATCTGAGCAAACATTTCCTGTGCATTTTCAGATAAGTGACGTCTAGCGGTTACCTCTTTCTTAGCAGTTGTTTGGACGAAAATAGAGCTCTCAAAGAAAACACAGGAATGATCGGAGAGTGCTACATCAGTCACCACAAGCTTAGAAATGTTCAGACCCTTTGATACAATTAAGTCCAGGGTGTGCCCCTTATTGTGTGTCGGACCCTTCACATGCTGAGTCAGTCCATAATTATCGATAACACAAAACAGTTATTTAGCCCCTCTAAAAACCGTTTTAAATGTGTGTTTCCTGTATGGCGAATACAGCTGCTTTATTTATGTCTGTATGAAGTTGTTGTGAGTGTGGAGGGAGCAGCTACAGGTTAGCTTAGCCTAATCGATCAGTGCACTACGAAGCCAGTGCTAGACAGTGCACTGTCAACGGGGGGAGCCCCGCCGGTCATTATCGGCCGATATTCACTCTTAATAGTTTGATCAGTGCTCTCTATAAAGGCCGATCAGGAGAGCTGGATCTGATCGATATGGACATAAACGCGAGTGAAGTTTTAGCGAGCTGCATGAGAAATTGACGGGCTGTCAGGAGAGAGGGAGGGAGAGAGGAAAAAAGAGATGATCCTTACTCCCATGTTATTAGCCATATCCGGTCATAGTCCGGTAATTACCTGCTAACGGAAACTCTGCTACACAATTCTTCTTCTTATTATTATTATTATTATTATTGAAACATGACCGGTAAGTTTCAAATTTGTCCGGTAAAATCAATTCTGTCCGCGGAAACCCTGCTCCGGACAGCGCAAAATGCGTATATGAAGTGTCATGAACGCAATAAATCATACCCTCGTGGGGACGCGCTCATGTGATTGGCTTAGAATGTAGGAGACATCTGATTGGCTATAGATAGAAAAAATTACAAGTACGAATCGGGTGACCGTCAGGGGAGTCTCAAAAAACCCACACACGAATGCACAGTGATCCATGCACAGAAAGCGGTTTGTGTTTGTAGGTTCAGGGGATTTAAACGGAAAACAAATATGTGAGGATCAAAAATACATATGTAAAACTTTTTTCTGTATTTGGATTTTATTTACATGTATATGAAACGGAACACAATTGTGTGTGTGCATTGAAAAACACAAGTGTGGATCCGGAAATACAAGTGTGAATCCTTTTGCGGATCATGAAATACAAGTGTGAATCCTTCTGTGTGCATGTGTGTATTATGAGACTGTTCTGAGCCCATACTTTTAACCCTGAGTGGACGGACTCATTCATGTTCATCCTGCCCACTGGGAGCTCAGAACCAGTGTGTCTCATTTGTTCAGAGACCGTGGCGCTCATTAAAAGTGCCAATGTGAAACGCCACTACTACAACCATCGACCTGAAGGACTCTTACTTTCATGTCAAAATTGCTCCAAAGCACAGAAAGTATTTGCGTTTTGCCTTCCAGGGGGTAGCCTACGAGTACAACAGGCTACCGTTCGGCTACTCCCTATCCCCACACACATTCAGCAAATGTGTGGCCACAGCGCTGCAGCCGCTGCACGACCGTGGCATGAGGGTGTTCTTTTATCTAGATGACCTCATAGTCATGGCCAGGTCCAATGTTTCACACAGCCCAATTGATCCTACACCTAACCAAGTTGGGTTTTGCGGTCAATTGGAAGAAGAGCTCCCCCATACCTCACCAGCAGGTGCATTATCTGAGGATGTTGCTCAATGCAGGCAGCCTACGCGCCACACTGTCAGAGAGCAGACAGGCATCCTTGCTTCGGGCAGTTTCCAGCCTGCGCAACAGCCACTCTACCCTGTGGTTTTCCATGGCTCGGCGGGACAATCTGCCCTTGGGGGTGGACGCGTTTGCACACGAGCCATGGCCAAGTAAGCTGATCTACGCCTTTCCACCGGTACGCCTCATTCTCCCTCTCCTGGAGAGGGTGAGACGAGAGCGTCTGTCAGTCATCCTAGTGGCCCCAGATCGCCGGTTGGCGCCGTGGTTCGCAGAGGTGACACAGATGATGGTGGGCCAGCCCTGGGCGGTTCCTCAGTTCTGGGGGGCGATGTCTCAGGAGGCAGGTGCAATAGGGGCGTTACCAACTCTGGGCCAACCTCTCCAGGCTTGGCTCCTGAGAGGGACAGGCTGAGACAGGGGGGACTGTCTGACAAGGTTATTCAGACTATCCAGGCAGCAAGAGCAGGATCCACCACAGCCTGTTACAGGCCAAAGTGGTTGGCATTCCAGCGATGGTGTGAAGAGGGGAGTCTAGAGCCCCTGTCGTGTACGGTGGGCTCTATTCTGTCCTACTTGCAGTTACTGGTGGACAGGGGGCTTGCTCATTCCACAATTAAAGTGTATGCAGCAGCCATCTCGTCCTGCCATGAGGGATTTGGCGGCAGGTCAGCCTTCAGTCAGCTGCTTATGTCACGTTTTTACAGGGGGTCAGGAGGCAGCGCCCAGTAGTGCACGCCTCCGCCCCGCAATGGGACCTGCCGTTGGTGCTCGAGGCTCTGGTCACAGAACCATTTGAGCCTCTGGAGCTCTCATCCCTGAAAGCATTGTCATGGAAGACAGCGTTGCTACTTGCCTTAACGTCGGCCAAGAGAGTGTCCGAGCTGACCGCTCTGTCGGTGCACCCAAGTTGCTTAGTGATCGGCTGTGGGTCAGCAGGTATCTGACCCCCCCCCCCCCCTGGACATAATGTACTTATGTTTTCCTGTGCTCCTTGGGGACCCGGGAAATGCGGTGCGCAGTAAGCCCCATACAGGGCTGGGGTCAGCAGGTATCTGACCCCCCCTGAGGATAATGCACTTATGTTTTTCGCCGTGCTCCTTGGGGACACGGGAGGCATGGTGCGCAGTAAGCCCCATACGGTGCTGGGGGGCTCTCCCTGCCTGCATATGGGCGGGCGGGGAGAGCCCTCCTCCCTGTTTTCCAGGCACACTATTCACAAGGTAAGCGTGTCTGAGTGTGCCCTACCAGCCAGGTAAACTGCGGCCCCCACTTCTCCCCGGGCACAACCGGAGGAGAGGAGGTTGCGGTGCAGTGGCTGTTAACCAAAAAAAGCCGGTCAGGGGCAGTGTGATGGGTCGATGTTGTTGGGCGTTTAGGCATCAGGGCTCCACCCACTGTACCCATAGAGTCCAGTAGAGGGCGGAGCCTATGTGAGTTATAACGGTGGGTTACGTATTGTAACCCTAGTTATATAAGCACAGGCGGAGCCCTCTACTCGGGGCCCTGTCTGTCCTATGCTGCTCGCTGAAGAGAAGTGTAGGATGACAGCCAGGAGGCGAGGCCGCCTTATATACGGTGGGCTTGCGCACGCATTCAGGTAGGCCCGCCCCAGGGGGCCGGCTACGGTTATAGATATCTCAGTTGATGAATGCTTGCATAGTATGGTTGAGAGGTAGTACCCATATAGTCCAGTAGAGGGCTCCGCCTGTGCTTATATAACTAGGGTTACAATACGTAACCCACCGTTACATCCACAATGCAATAGTGCCTACCAACCATGACAAAAAAGGTTACGCTACATCGTTAGCCGCACTGTTTAAGTAAATAGGTTGTGATCGCTATCTTGTAAAGATGGCCGACTTGCTGTTGATGACATCACAATCCCATGCCCTGTTGCTCATCTATTGATAATATTGACACATTAGTTTTGTCTTTAAGGTTTTTTCCAAGAAGAAAGGTTCTCAATGGCATTTAACTACAAACCAGGTTGTAGGAGATAGTTTTGGCCCATGAATCCTCACAAAGATATTCACGAACCTTCCCTGTGGAACGGACCCCTTTCCAAACGCAGAAGTAGCAAACGACCCAGACAGCCAGGAGACACAGCAGCACCTCCCACTGCACTCCACCCAACTCCTCTATTCCCCCAGACATAGACAACACGCCTCTCCTGCAAAGGGACACAAGACAGTCAATGATAAGTGCAATAAATCACAATATACTTTAAACATGATCCATTGCTGCTGCTTTACGTAATTTATTATGAGCTTCACAGGACAACATTGACTCACTCCCAGAACTCAGAGACTGAAGACTTGGTGAGATTTCCAGATGTCCAGTTTACTGACTGGTTGCCTCTGTGTGTTTGAGTAGAGTTTAAGGAGGTGAGGTCCACACATCTGTCTGTTAGTTGGAAAGCAAATCAAAATGTGGTTAAAGTGAAAATCTTTATATCACAGGTTAGTAAAATGGTCACTCATTTGGTTATTGTTTTTAGTCATGAAACACAGCAATGTGCCAACAAGGCAAGGTAGAAGGTTGGTACAGCACATTATACAGTATAACAATTTCAAATATTTAAAAAAAGATATGCTTTGAAAATCTTGTACAGTATGTGTGAGGAAATGCATTCTACACATCACCCACAGATGACCATGCAGACCCGGTCTTAACTCTGTCACCTTTAAATTACTCAACTATCCCCGCAAATATAAGCTATATATAATAATTAATTCAAATGTTAAACATTTATGCCGTGTTATATCAGAATCATTTGCAGTCTTTGTCTCCAGGACAGTTGATGTGAAGAAGATATCAGTCAGTTAGCAAACAGATCAATACGTTTGCAAACCTTATTCAAAATAATTATTTGCATTTAGTGATTCTATTGTCTCGCTCTCTGCTAACCATGTGTTTCTCTTGGAAGATATTAATATTTTTGACATTACATTTAATTTCACGGTATAACTTATAAGCTAAATTAGCTTTTGTCTCTCTGTTTCTCAAAGGTTAGCAAATAGGTAGCTCTGGGTGAAAAGTTAAAGTTTTCCAAAGTAGAACACGTTTTGATCAAGTTGCTTTTTCCACATTGTTTCATAGTTTGTTAAATGTATGTTTGATTGATTGATTGATTGAATTGATTGATTGATTGATTGATTGATTGATTGATTGATTGATTGATTGATTGAAAAGTTTATTAACAGCTTGTATATTGGGTACAGTACAGTACAGCTCAAAACATACAATTGTTAAGGGGATGCAGACCAGAGAAAGACTTTCGTCTTGTTTACATCAGGGTCCCCCATTTCCAATTCATCATATCATTTAAGACATATAAGACATATTTGACATACAGATGGCTTATTTACAATTTACATACAGGTGGTTTTTTACATACAGATGGCTTATTTACAATTTTCATTTTAGATTTCGTTCTAATACATCCTAACCGGACATTTAAGACATACCAAGTCTACAGATATACAGTTAGTAACAGAGTCTAAAATGCGAGTATATACATAGATGGGGGGGGGAAGCTGTCCATTGTACGACAGGTTGAGATTTGTACCATTACCGGGGCCAGTTTTGCAATGCTTTCCCCCGAAGGTGCTCTTTAAGAGAGGTTTTGAAGGTAAGTATAGTTTTACTTTCCTTTACAGTTGTGGGAAGAGCGTTCCACCTTGATGTGGCATAATTGCGAAACGTGTATTCCCCTTTTTTTGTGCCAAATCTGGGTTTTACATGATTTGTGGAGCTCCCTCTGGTGTTATGATCATGGTATTCCTTGACCTTTGGGAAGAATTTTGACATGTACATGGGTACCATAGAGGTGTAGTGGATCTTGTAGACCAGGCCCATTGCAAGTAGCTGTACTCTGTCGTCTACTCTAAGCCATCCTAGGTTGTCAAAGTGGGCAGAGGTGAGGTGGGTTCTAGATGAAAGGTCAAGCAGTAGTCTGACCAGTTTATTTTGCGATGTTTGAAGTTTTATTTTTAGCGCCTTGGAGGTGCTATGGTACCATGACGTGCAAGCATAGTCATAGTACCCTTGAATGAGTGCTCCTGCCAGAGTTTTCAGGGTGTTTTTGTTTACCAGAGAGGAGATCCGGTATAGGAATCTAGTTCTTTGATTGACTTTTTTTATTACATTGGATGCCATTTTGTCACAGGAGAGGTTTGCCTCAAGAATAGATCCTAGGTATGTAATTTCCTTCTTACTTGTGACAATAATGTCACCCACTGCAACTGAGAAGTCGTCGGATTTGCTGAGATTATGTTTCGAACCGAAGAGAATGGACTCTGTTTTACCCAGGTGTAATGATAATTTATTATCGGCGAGCCAGGTGCAGATTCTGCCGAGCTCGGAGCTGAGGGTTTTTTCAACCTGCAATCTGCTCCTGTCAGAGACCAGCAGGGCTGAGTCGTCCGCGAACAGGAACAAGTTGCAGTCACATGCTGATGACATGTCATTTGCATAAATTAGGAACAGTAACGGACCTAATATGCTTCCTTGTGGAACACCACAGCTCACTGGGAGGGGGGGGGACAGAGTACCGTTTACCTCCACCATCTGTTCTCTCCCCTCCAGGTAGGATTGCATCCAGCTCACCGATAGTTTATCAAAACCAATTGCTTTTAGCTTGTCAATCAGAATGGGGTGATTGACAGTGTCGAAAGCCTTTTGTAGGTCCAGCATCACCATGCCGCAGTATTTACCCTCGTCCACCTCTTGTTTGATGTGGTCGTTCAAATAAAGAAGGCATGTGTCAGTGGAGTGGGATGTTCTAAAGCCAGATTGAAATTCATAGATTAGTTTCTTTTCTGCAAGGTACTTTTCGACCTGTTCATATACTATTTTTTCCATGACTTTCGAGATGGAGGTAAGTATAGAAACAGGGCGGTAGTTGCCTGGGTCCAATTTGCTGCCCTTTTTGTGCAGGGGGGTTACTCTTGCAATTTTGAAGTCTTTGGGTACTTTTCCCTGTTTTATGGAGAGGTTAATTATGTGAGCTATGACTGGTGAGATGGCGGTTGCTGTGTCTCTGAGGAATTTGGAGGGGATATTGTCGTGGCCAGTGGCCTTGTTAGGTTTGAGGGCGCTCAGTTTAATGAGTACCTCTGCTGTTGTTACCCTTGCTAGACTGAAATCATCTTTGCGTACCCCTAGGTTTTTGTAGTAGGTCATGATGTGATCTACTCCAAAAAGCCCTGAGTGGGAGGGTAATTTATTTACAAGAGTTGTGGCTATGTTTGTGAAAAAAATGTTCAAGTACTTGGCCACATCCAGTTTGTCTGTGATGAGCCTGTTATCTGTCTTTATGTTTAAGTTTGAAAATCTCGTTTTGAGTTTTTTACTGCAGCCAAGCTGGTTATTGAGTAATTTCCAAAGTTCACGGGGTTTATTTTTGTTTTCCTCAGTTTTGTCATTGATGAAATTCTTTTTGGCAGTTTTGATCATGGAGCTTACGTCATTTCTTAGTCTGTTTCTTTCAATTTTTAGTTCAGTCACGTGGGCCTGGAGTTCACTGCTCGTGCTTTTGGAAAGCATTGACTGACTTTTATGAAACTCAGAGCATTTTTTGTCTCTGGTTTTCATGGCGGTCAGTATGCCGGAGTGCATCCACGGCTCAGCGCGATTTTTTACCCTGGTTGTTCTTAGGGGGGCCAAATCATTGAGTATTGCAGAGAATTTGTTTTTGAAACCAAGCCATGTTTCTTCAACTTGTGTACCACTGAGCTCATCTGACCAGTCCAGGCTCTCCAGTTCTAGGTTAAAGGCCTCGCTAGAGTAGTTTTTGAGGTCTCTAGATATGACTGTTTTGTGACAGCCGGCCTTTTGTTTTAGCTTTTTGCGGGTACAGAATATCATATAATGATCACTTAAACCGCATGCTATAACCCCTTTACTGGAGATCCTGGACCTGTCAGAGGTCAGAATGAGATCAATGGTAGTTTGTGTTGTTTCACATACCCGGGTGGGTTGGGTGATTAGCTGGCTGAAGCCGTGCAGATCACAAATCCTACTGAAGGACTTGAAGACGGACGTGTCTTTACGTTGCATATCCGTGTTCCAGTCTCCAATAATAATTGTCTCTACATCCCCCACATCAGCCAAACACCCATCTAATGTATCATAAAAGTCACTCTGTTCCGGTGGTCTATAGATTGTCCCGACTATTACAGATTTAGCATTGTCAAAAAGAATTTCAACCCACACAGATTCAATATTTTCATGATGCAGGTCAGTACGGTTTTTGAAATTGGTGTCTTTATGTATGTACATGCAGACACCACCTCCATTCACGTTCCTGTCCCTTCTCACTACAAGATAATCTTCAATTTCAATCTCTGAATCTGTAATGGAATTGTCCAATTTGGTCTCAGAAAAGCATAATATGCTTGCCTTACCGTTCATGAACAGTTGCCTGAGTTCAGCCAGTTTGTGTCTCAGGCTGTTAGTGTTCAGATGAAAAATATGTAGTCCATTTTTGTTGTTTAAATGCATAATGTCGTCAGCTTGCAGATATTTGTCTTTGTCCGTTACAGCAAACGGCTTGCGGCCTGCCGTGGTGCTTGGAGCGGTGGGGTGGTGGGGGGAGGGAGGCTCCGTTGTAGCTTTAGCCGTCGATATGCTAGCAGGGTGGCTAACAACATGGTGGATATTTGTTCCCTCGGATCTCGGTTCTCTTCCTCTCGTCACTGCCTCATGCGTGTCTGTCTGCCGAGGCGTCCCCGGGGGAATGTCGAAGTCTCCGTTGATTCCTCGGTCTCCGCTGTCTCCATGGTCTCTGTTGTCGTCGCGTAGTTGTTGCTGTAGCGGAAGAGATGCTAGTTGTGATGCTAGTTGTGATGCTAGCTCCTCGAGCCTGCAGGAATGGCTTCTTGTCTGCACCGGGCCCGGATTCAGATGGATGTCTCCCGCTAACAATAAGACCAAGACGATCATACTTCTTCGGTCTAGTTTGCCTGACGGGGGTAAGTACTTTCGCGTCGGGTTTGCAGTTAATAATGCATGAATGCTTGCACTTCCAAAAGCGAGGTGTTTCCTTTCCCAGCCGTTGAGAAGGTAAAAGTCATTGTGGTTCATTTTATCCCTGCTTTCACTACTCTCCTTCTCTAAGTGATGTTGCCTCATTGATGAGTTGAGGTAGGAGTCCATAATCCATATTGTCAGGAGGATGAAATATGTAAAAAATCGTGAGGAATAACCTCCAAAGCGGGAGCTCTCGAAAATGCGACCACTCATAGCGAAACCGGAAGGTTATGTTATTATGTGCCGTTCATGTTTTGTTCATAATTGTTGGATATGATGAGTTATTTTAGAATTTGTTAGTTGATTTCCTCTACCTTTTTGTTCTCTGGTAAGTTTTTCGTGTGTTGAAAGTGATACAAAAATGTTTCATGTCATTGATTTCCATCATGTGACCAGGGTGATCATTTATAAAACATGAAATCAATCTGATTAATTACCATAACATTTATGTAAAGGAGACCGTGTCTAAAAAGAGCTCTTGAAGAATAATTTATTTGTCAATAAAGGAAAAGGTAGATGCTTTTGCACCCAGGTGTATATAGTCAACAATGCTATTTGCCCCGTGCGTGGCAAACATTAGATTTGGTTTTGAATGCATGTGCAAATGTATAACATTGGTGATGGCACATCTTATATTCAGCACTGTATATGCATCTGTTCTTACATTGTTTGCAATTGCTTGTTTAGGTAATAGGAACATCAGAGATCAGTGCTATATTGGACTTTACAGACCAACCAACCTAACCTAATCTGGGATTGTAGATAGGCACCTATTAGTCAGGCATAAAATAAATACAGTTGGTCGGGGTATGGGTGTGAAGATCCGAATAGCTGCTGTGTGACAAATCTTACCTGGGTGCAAATAGACTGTAAAACAACAGCTGACTGGCACTTCTTAAGAAGTAAGTATTTTAGGACCTTTTAACTCGCTGTACGTCCACCCATCCTTCCCCTATACAGACCTGTGTTCCAGGGATTGTTGCAGGTGGCCCAGGGCAGAGGGTCTCTGAAGCAATAGATGAGGTAGAGGAGGGCCCAAGCCAGGATAATGGTGTAGACTCGGGCATAAAGTTGGATCACTATATAAGAATAGCCAGTACCTGGAGAGACAGAGAAATCATCCGAAATACCCTCGGTTTAAGCTGTAGAGAATATGTGTAAAGAAGCCAAACTGTGCTGTATTTGCTGTAAAGTGTCCTTACTGTAAGGTAATTATTATATGTACAGCACTTTCGCTCGACCAAAAATCGTTTAAAAATGTGCTATATAAATAAAACTTGATTTGATTTGATTTGATTTGATTTGAAGCCGGATATAAATTAATCACGGCAGTGTTTAGCTGAGTTTCTGCTGGTAGACAGCCTTCTCTTCACATAGCTCACTGCTTGCATGCGGACGCTCCAAAGGGGCGTGGCCAGCAGCAGCTCGGTTACATTTAAAGGGCCAGACCCAGAATCAGCACTTTAGTAACAGGGCTGAAATAGAGTGGTATGAGGCATGCTACAATGGGTGATCTGTTTCGTATTTTGAGTAAAACACTTCAGAGACATGTTTTGTATAGATATGGCCCTATAATATTGTTCAAATATAGCATAATAGGTGACCTTAAACTCAGAAAACATCAGATTTAAAGGATACAAGCTTGTTGATGTATCTCCCCAAATACAGGCCAGGAAAAATAAACAAGGGTGGATAAACTGCAGCTGCCTTTGATATAATGGGCTTTCATAATAACCGTGATCTACATATCCATAATTTAAATTTGATGAATTGACATTTTCACACGTTTTTCTCATTGATTTCTCGACCAAAGTGTTATTGTTCTAGGTCAGTGACTGTGAGTGTGTATGTAGTATTGGCATCATTCAATCATCAAAGCTGAGGCTTTGTATAAGTGCAACAGGAGTGCAATATTTACATTTTAAGGCCTATATGAGGACCTAGATTTTAGATTTTAGACTTCTTTTGTAAACAATTGTTTTTTTGTTTTGTCTCAGAAGTCCACTGTGGCTGAAAACAAGGTTTACAGGAAAAGTCTGTACATTCATTAATATGTATTAATGTGTGAAGAGTCCATACTGTATGACATAAAATATGATATTTGGTTGAATAACAATGCTTTAGGCACATTCTGTATTTTTTGGGCACCATCATATCTGAATCTGTGACAAAGTAAGGGTTTCATGCTTATATGTTCATAGGTTATAAGAGATCAGAAGAAAGTAAGACTAAAACAAATGTAGTCTGTATTATATTATTATTCTTAATTCATATACAGCTGTGGGGTCAATGGACCCAAATGAAATGAGAAAGTCAAGGTAATATTAACAAAACACAATGATTATGATTCCTGTTTCATGTATTGGTAGGATGGGGTACGTTCACGAAATATGGCTTCAGGGATTTTCCTTTTAGAAAACTTGGTGTTTCCTGAAATACATTTTCAGTTCTAGCCAGTTTTAAATTACATAATCCCTAATTGTCTAGTTGCCAGCTCATCAGCTGAAAATGTCATAAATGGATTCAGTATCGTATTGTCAACATAGGCTATTATGCCATTAAGGCTAATTAACCCATTTTATGCTAATTGTGCAAATTGCCCAACATGTGCAAGTTAGCATCCGGCAGTTTGGGACCAGTACTAAACATTTATAACATAAAACTTGTGGTTACCCTGTGCCAGGGGGCAGAGCTTGCTCCAGCAGGTCATGGCGCCCTCTTGTGTGTACTGACCAATCGCGGTCTCCATCAGGTAAAGCGGCACGCCACACAGCAGGGCAAAGAAACAATACGGCACCAGAAAGGCACCTGAACACACAGAATATTCACACCTGAGACTATGACATGGATGTTCAGTTTTGATGTTCCCCTACATTTAATAATAACCATGAGAAGGACAGATTCTGCATTAATAAAGTGATAATAAAATGTAGATGTACAACAAATATTACTTTTATGGTGCGTTCACACCGGAAGCGGCTGTCAGCTGTGTTTACTCGCCTCATTCAAACAGGACACGCTGGTGAGGGGGTGGGGCTTATCTCCATGTAAATACTATGGTAGATTAAAGGTGGGGTAGGTAATTTTGGAAAAACCAGCTCGAGTGCGCTAGAATTTGAAAATACACAACCGGAAAAAATCTTCCACTTCCTTACAGAGCCCCTCCTCCAACACACACGAACGCGCACATGACCAATGAGGGCACGAGATAAGTTTGTGCACAGATGGAAGGCTGACAGGCAGGTAGGCCATCCAGTTACTTTAGCCGGGCCGGCTAAAATGATTGGTCGTGCTTTTTACAGTACTACGGCTTCCACATATGACATTTTTTAATGGATTTTTTGTCAAAGCACTTAAGATATTCATTGCTATCGGGATGTTAAGAGCATTCCATGGACTATAACAAAAAGTGTATCTCGAGCCGGTTTCTCAAACTTACCTACCCCACCTTTAACTAACTACAACAAAATGAACATATTTGACCGTTATTTGATTGTTAATACACGTTTTAAAATGATGCCAAAATAACAACATACTGATACCAGTTTGTAAATACCATGAATGAATGCATGTTTACACAGGCGGCAGGAGAAACCGTTTTATATGTGTGTTTCCTGAATGGAGATCTGTGGCCTGTACTATGAAGCAGGATTTGCGGTTAGCGAGGTAACCGCTGAAAAAGGTTGGGAACCACTGATTTAGAGGAACAAAGAGTTTCACCGGACGAGTAAAACCACACCAGCAGGAGAAAACCCTGCAAAACCACATTCCCTGAAGGCATCCTCGTCAGGTTCCTTGATCACAACTATTCATAGGTAATGTTAAGCAATAATGGAAAGTAACTAAGTACATGAACTAAAGTATTGTACTTGTGTACTTTTTTTGACATATTATGTACTTTACTTAAATACGTCCATTTAATGCTACTTTATACTTCTACTCCACTACATTTCAGAGGTGAATATCATACTTTTTACTCCACTACATTTATTTGAACACTCACAGTTACTTTGCACATATAATTAATAACACATATATGCCCATATAGTATAATGCAGTACTGCATGCACTACTAAACTACACAGTATCTAAATCTGGTCCAAATTGAACAACGACAACACTGAAATGCTCTTGTGTAAAAACATGATACAATTAAAACCATCATCATATAATACTTTGAAAGATCCATTCTGCATAATGAGTACTTAATTTTTATAAGTAGATATTTTTTAAATCAGGACTTTTACTTCTAGATGAGTATTTTAAGACTATAGTATTTGTACTTTTATTTAAGTAAAGGATCTGGGTACTTCTTCCGGCATTGATGTTAAGTCATGCCAACAGGCTCTACAGTTTCTTGGCTGTTTTACTTAGATAGATAGATAGTCAGGTCTACAAAAAGGACACATACAGAAGCAGATTAATAATAATTGCTACTGAGTGTAATAACTTCCATTATTTTAGCAGCCGTGTATCCATGTGGCTATAAAGTCAATATATATACTTTCAAATGTTATTTTTCATGTAACCTCAAAGTATTTAGATTATTTTCAGTTATTTCTACACACTCCTCATATGCCACATAGATTGAGAGTCCTTCAGCAGCTCTTCTGCAGCTTGATGTAACAAGGAAATAATTACTAGAGATTAGGGATTTTCATGAAATCATCTAAAATGTCACAGTTGATTGTATGTACAGCTCACCTCCTCCGTTCTTATAGCATAGGTAGGGGAATCTCCACACATTGCCCAGGCCCACCACATTGCCTGCTGCTGCCAGAATATATTCCCTTTTCCTCGTCCACTGTTCCCTCTTTTCCACTTTGTTCTCCATTTGTGTTCCTCTTTCAGTCCTCTGCTCAGTAGGCTACTGCAGCACACAGCCCTGCACACAGCATACTGATTGTTATGACTGGTGCCTGAGGCCTTGGGTGTAGAGCGAGGAGGTGCTTATTATAATAGAAGTATCATGTATTTAGTCTAAAGTTCCCTGAGGCACATTTGTAAACTGTGATATTCTGCCACAAAAATACAATGTGATTAATTAACCTTTCAAAAATGTTGGTGCTGTTTCGAATGTAAAGTGCCATTTCTTTGTGAAATGGTTTAGTTATGAAATCAGAATTACATAATTATAAATAATAAACAAATACAAAAAAATTATATTTATTATTGAAGATAAAAATCTACTGAGAAAATAACTAAATATATGTTTAGTTTCGATGTGCACTTCAATTCATAATAACGATAGTTTTTATATCGAAAATAAGATTTTAACAAACAAGGTTCAAGGTTCAAGGTTCTTTATTGTCAAACTGACATAGTTACAGAGTAATTATGTTGTTGAAAATCTTATGTCATAGGCTTCTCAAACAATGCAACATAATAACAATACAGATAGCAAGAGCAATACAAAAAGAAAAATAGTTATAAAATAAAGTGAGCATGTGGAATAGTGCAGTACGAGTCTATATACAAGTTATTGGAATGATATATATATTTTTTTTATTCTCTTATTGTCATTTCACAGTACAGGTACCCTGTAACGAAATTGTTCCTCTGCATTTGACCTATCCTAGTGTTAGGAGCAGTGTGCTGCCGTGGACGGCGCCCAGGGAGCAGTGTAGGGAACGGTGCCTTGTTGTTTATTGTTTAACAGTCTCACTGCTTCCCGCGGGAAGCAACTGACAGTTACACTTTGAGTTGTCTCTTTTGAGATCCTCAAACAGGGAGTTGTCAAACTTGCTCACTCTTGTTACTCCTTCTCCTGAACCATGACTAACCACACACATTTTGGCACAACTGCTACTTTACACAACTGATATTTAGTGGGAATGCTGATACAGCATTCCAACTATCTGTTTATTATTATTCCGCCGGGATTTTGCACCTCTTCTGCTCCCACATTCCACATCGCAGAAACTCCGTTCAAACATCAAAACGTTCAGCTCGGTCGGGAATCAATGGCTATTACTTTTCTCATTCATAACTTTCATAATTCTCGAGATATATCCCATAATTCATCACATTTTTACCATGGAAGTCAATGGAGAAATTCTTCAGACTTCAACAAATCTTCATGCGACTTCAACTGCTAACTGTTCCTTCATACTTTCACTCAGAAACCTCATTCCAACTTTAAAATGTTACACATCTTTCTGACATTATTCGTGTAACACAACTTTTAAATCTGATTCTTTTAGAGATATTAAACATTGTTCAGACCTTGGTAAAGAGGCCTTCTTCAGATTTTAACATTAACTAGAGAATGCAATTCCTGAAGAAATTGCTAGTGGGAATGCTTTATGCTGAAAAGCTGACGCTAAACTGCTATGCTGAAATGTAATGTGTAAGAAGAAAGTGAAGAATTTAGATTGAAATGATACATGAACACTGGGGGCTTGAATGTGTGATGAGTGAAGAAAATAAAGTAAAAAGGCTTGGAAAAGCAGCAGAATATTTGAACTGCAAACTTTTGAACTAACTTGATGGCGAATGATCTGTCGCCATGGCAACGGCATTTGATGACACCCCATAATACGCTTAAATGCGTTGATGGCTGCATCGTTACCAAACCTGTGAAGTTTTGGGCCGTTTGGAAAATGTTCACTGAAGTTATGAGAAAACCGTGTTTCATGGCGAGCATTGTGTTGCCATGGCAACGGCATTTGAAGAAACCCCATAATTGACGTAGAGCTGTTGAGGGCTGGACCGGTGATATACAAGCGAAGTTTGGGGGACGATCGGACCGTTTCCATTGGACTTACAGCGACATCGTGCTTCATGGCGAGTGGTCTGTCGCCATGGCAACGGCATTTGATGACACCCCCAAGAGAGAGAGAGAGAGAGTGTGAGAGAGAGTGTGAGTATGAAATGAACAGTTAGAACTGACTGCTGTCAGTTGGAGTGATGACATCATCGTGTTCCATTACACAGGTGTTTATAGTTGAGCTAACGAGCTCTGTAGAGATCAAAGGTTTGCATTGTTCTGAATGAGAGATAAACCTCTTACATGTGAACGTTTTGTGGAAGAACCATAACAGATATCTGTGAAATTTCAAAACGTGAAGCATGTCAAGGAAGTTGAGTATCTGAAGTGTAATTTTTGTGTACTTTCGGGTTAATAATGTGGCCTTTTTGGCAGTTTAACTAAAGGTGTGCGGCTGCTGCTGTGAGGAAATATCAGCCTGAAATTACAATGGGTTTTAATGGAGACATGTTGAAAGTTTTTGTCACTTCATGCCCTCAAGAGGCATTTTGTTTAATTATTTTTGCTTAATTATTTGTCAGTTTTCAAGCTAAGAGATGTTTTCCTACGTTTGTCATGACAAATTATGTCTCAGGAATGTAGGGTTTGGGAATTATGGCAGTTTATAAAAATAATATGAAGGCAAATTTCAAGATTTCCTACCCTCTAGCTGTGACATCACGCACTCTAGTTAAAGGGCCCATGTCATGGCCATTTCCACTGATCATAATTCCATTGTTGAGGTATACTACAATAGATTTATACTGTGCAATTTTCCAAACTCACATTGGTTTCGCATACAGCATCTCTGTAAAGTATGTGTATTCAGCAGTATTCACTCTCTCCACTAAACGGCTCGTTGGAGCTCTTGCCCCCCCCTCCCTGTGAGCCTAGTGTGCTCCGATTGGTCAGCTCGGCCACTCTGTTCTGATTAGCCAACCACCAGAGAGGCTCCGCCCATGTCTAACAGTGCTTTTTTCGGCTCGCTCTCAGCGGAACAACAGTCTTATAATGGCCTCGGTACAGCCGTATATTGTATACGCTAACTCAGTGGTTCCCAAACTTTTTGTGCCCAAGGCACACCAAAGGACAAGTAAAAATCTCAAGGCACACCTATTGTGCAAAATAGCCCTTATAACACGTGTTATCACTCATATCATGTAAAATATCTGTAAATGTGCATAATTATTTACTAATGCCAAATAAAATGTGACAAAGACAACTATATTACTCATGAAATATTTATTAACGAAATATTTCAGAAATTAATTTGAAACTTTATCAAATTAGGCTTCATCAAAGCAGCAACACACTCATTTAAACCAGACAGGTCACAACATTAAAAATTGTGGAGGATCAGGCTTTGGTGGTTGGCTCCCATCACGGCGCACAGCTGGGAGAAGAGGCGAGATTTCAGGGGCCTTGATTTGATGTAATTCACCATCTGCACAGCCTGATTCAGCACCTCAGTCAACTCCGGGGGCATGGTTTTGGCAACTAATGCCTCTCTATGCAAAATGCAGTGGTTTGTCACGATATGTGGGTTTTGTGCTCTCACCTTAGCAATAAATCCTTTCACTCTCCCCGTCATGCTTGCCGCACAATCTGTGCAAAGACTGACGCACATATTCCAGGTCAGACTGTTCTCTTTTAACACTAGAACCGCCAGAGGTCGCTGTATACCTAAAACCGCCAACGGGTAACATTTACCCGCTATTGATTTTCAAGGTACAATGTTCTTTTAATTATCATGCAGAACAGTGAGTTTTGATCGCACAGGGATGAAACTTATACCAATAGAATATGTGGACTCTCAGCTTTTCATATGATATAGTTTGTGCAGATAGGATGAAGTATAAAATATCGCTACCAGTGCTGATTTAAACACTTGGTGTTAGACTTGTGTTTTGTTTAGGTACAAATCTCTCTCTATCTCTCTCTATCTATCTATAACTATCTATCGATCTATCTGTAATGTTCTGTTCTATGGACATATAATTGTCTACATAAACAGACGACGCGGACTACTTCTCTCATTCCAAGTGTCCATCTTTATTCAGCTGGCACGTAACCTGCACACATGCATTACGTCCTCAACGTGAGCTCAGTCATCCAAGATCTTGTATTCGCCAAGATGTTACACTATCTATAACTATATATCTGTCTATCTCTCTCTCTCTCTCTCTCTATCTATCTATCTATCAATATATCTATCTATCTATCTATCTCTCTATCTATAAGGAACCGCAGTAGGCAAAAGGCGTTGCTATAGCGACACGTCATGTTTACGCTGCATTTTCTATGAGGTAAATATTACCCGCTGGCGGATATAGGTATAAATGGCAAATTTTTGGGCGATTTTTTCAATCTGACTTCATATTGACAATTTTTAGCAACAGAGAGTGCTACATAACACACTTTCAGGAAAAGTCACGGACTGGGAGACTTTAATATTTTATTGAAAAAAAGTTACATACAATCAAAAAACAGCTGCGGGTAAAATGTACCCGTTGGCGGTTCTAGTGTTAAATAGTTATTAGTTACCCTGAATATTTCTTCTCCCGTAGTATGGCTTTCCATTTCTTTGCAAAAGAAAAACGTCTCTTTGATAGAGTCAGCATCAACATATCTGACGTTTGCCAGAAGTTGGGCAGCCCCACTTATGTCAGTAGATTCGTCTATTTGTAGGGAAAATCTGCCGCTCGCCTGCAGTGCCATAAGACAGGTAACTTTCATGATACTGTCTGCTGACAGTTTTTTTCCTCTTTTCTTTCGGTGGTGGGTTGTCGGCAGTCTCTGCACTGGTGGTTGGTGGTTTGCTCCGCACAAGAAATCGCTCCATTTTCCCTCTTGCGTGTTTCTCTGTTTTAATGTTGTCCTTCAGCCTTCGATGTGTCACGGTCTTATAATTCCCACCTGCAACTGCGTTAACAGCGAAATATGGGGTTCTGTGAGGATTTTTCTTTAAAGAATTGTTTTTAGGTATAGAGTTTGCCTCTGTATTATGAAATGAGTGCATACAAAGTACTGATATAGTAAATTAAAAAATTATTATTTTTGTGTAGTTGTATATTGCAATAATAACGTATGGTTGTCACAAAATCCCACGGCACACCCGGACTTGCCTCACGGCACA